GAGGTACTTTTCTCCCTTTCTCACAATATAAGAACTCGTGGGCACTCAATGAAATTGCTGAGCGGTCGGGTTAGAACGGATAAAAGGAAGTCCTTCTTCACCCAAAGAGTGATTAACACATGGAATTCACTGCTACAGGAAGTGGTGGCGGCTACAAGCATGGACGGATTCAAAAGGGAATTAGATAAGCATATGGAACAGAGGTCCATCAGTGACCACAAGGTATAGATAGGGGCTCTGGGGCAAGTGATGCTCTGTCTTCTTGGTGGTTTTGGGGGGGGGGTCAACAGTGGAAGGGTTTCTGATGTCCTGGCCCCACTGCTGGACCTCCTGATGGCACCTGGTATTTCTGGCCACTGTGTGACAGAGTGTTGGACTGGATGAGCCTTTGGCCTGATCCAACATTGGCGTCTCTTATGTTCTTATGAGTCCTAGTTTTACGAAAAATAAACAAGTTCTATGCTGAAGTTTCTTTCTGATGGGGGGAATCCTGTGAAAGAACACGCAGGGCGTCAAATTTATCAGATCATTGCTTCCCTTTTGACCGTATTTCCCATAAGCGGCAGGTATGGTCGGGCCAGCTTTGGAAGGATTCCTTGCTGTGCCAAAGAAAGAGGTAGAGAGTTAGCTCTGTCTCTGCGAGAAGGAAAAATCAGCGGGAAGAAAACTTCTGGTTATCCCGAGAAGATCCTTTCAGTGTGGTTGCTGCAGTTGGAGACCTTAATTTGGTTCCAACAGCACCTTAGAGCTGGCAAGATTTTCAGGATATGAGCATTCGAGAGTGGAAACTCTCTTTATCAGAAAAGATTGACTCTGTTCTGAAAGCTCAAGAATTCCTAAGGGTTCAGCTGGGAAGACCAGAGGATGGGGAAAAAGAAGAGGACAGCAAGTCTAGTGGCGAGCTGGACTCGGGTTCTTCCGGAGAGGACTCTCTGACAGAGCAAGGGGCAGCTGCTCAAAAAAGTCCTTATAAGCTGTGGAAGAGACGAGGAAAGGAGAAGTAAAGGCTGAAGGACTCTGAATTGTGCCTTTGAGAACTCTGAAATGGGATGATTGGGGGTACTGTTCCTAGACAGTTAAAATTAAGAGTTAAAGAAAAAGAAAGTAATATAAATGTTTGACTCAGTTTATAATAATCTAAATGAAATGAAGATTTGTTGTAAATAAGCTAGTGAGGATCTCCTCTCTTGGGTTTTTAGTTAGTAGTGGGTTCTTTTGCTTTATCCTATATATGTCCCCCCCTTCCCTTTTTTCTGTAGTAGTTTTATAGTTTGATAAAAAATAATAAAAAATCCCCTCCGGGGGCTCAAACCTCCCCTCTGTATCAGATACTAAATTAGAGTCCAAGTGGCTCAAGTGGTTAAGACGCTGAAGCTGCAGACTGGAAGGTCGGTAGCTCAGCAGTTCGAGACCCTGGTGCCACGTGACGGGGTGAGCTCCCGTCTCTGGCCACAGCTCCTGCCAACCCAGCAGTTCGAAAGCAAGAAATCACAAGTAGATAAATAGGCACCACTTCGGTGGGAAGGTGACAGCGTTCCGTGCACCTCGGCGTCTAGTCGTGCCGGCCGCGTGACCATGGAGACGTCTTCGGCCAACTCCAATTTGAGAAATTCCTGGAGATTCCGGTAGTGGAGCTTGCGGAGGAAGTTCGGCGGGGTACAGTGCCCTAGAGTCTACCCTCCAAAGTGCCCATTTCCTCCAGGGGAGTGGATCTCTGTCATCCGGAGATCCGTGGTAATTAACTAAAACAGTTCTAGAGGGCTCTCCTGTGCATCTTGGTTACTTGTGACCAGTGTTCCCTCTAAGCTGAGTTAGTGTGAGCTAGCTCACAGTTTTTTAGCCTCCGGCTCACACATTTTTGTCTGAGCTCAGGAAGGAGGGCTCCAGAGCAAACCAATTGATGCAGTAGCCAAATCGCTCGCTCACAGCTTTAATGCCAGTAGCTCACAAAGTAGAATTTTTTGCTCACAAAACTCCACAGTTTAGAGGGAACACTGCTTGTGACACCCTGCGTGGCCCACCTCTGAATAAACAGCTCACAAGAAGCGGTTGACTGGGTTGCGGAAACATTTGTGTGTTATGAATCAGCCTGTCAATGACCAGCAGTGTTAAGCTGCCCGTATTGCAGCGATGCAAATGGGTTTTCTTCTGCTGGCTCTTGGTTTCGGGCGTTCGTGACGTATTTTTGAACTAGTTTCATCTTTTTACCATCAGTGATTTCCGGGGCCCGGACCTGCTTGGGAAGCCACCGTTTTCCTCCCCACAGTCATCTTTCCCCCACTCTGGGTTTGTACCTGGAGGCCAGATTTCTCTTGATGCACAAATATCATTTATCAGACTTCTACCCCGCCCTCCCCACTGGAGCAGGCTCAGGGTGGCTTACAAGAATTAAAACACATAAATAACCGTTAAAACAATAATAAAACCTTCTAAAACAATCCAGATGATGTCCAGTGCTAGTGCAATTGGTCTGGCAAAGTAAGTCTAACAATATTTGGTGACCATGGCAGCAGTTGATGTCTTGTCCTATTGATCCTCTCCTTGTTCTATTTCTTCTTCTGAGGCAAACAACAGCAAGGATGGTTCTGAAGTCCCCATGGGTTCAACAGGACTGCCTAGGTCTCCATTTTGGGATATATTCTGGCTATTTTGAAGAAGAAGAAGAAGAAGAAGAAGAAGAAGAAGAAGAAGAGGTTGGATTTATACCCCACCCTTCACTACCCAAAGGTGTCTCAGAGCGGCTTACAAACTCCTTTCCCTTCCCCTCCCCACAACGGACACCCTGTGAGGCAGGTGGGGATGAGAGAGCTCTTGATAGAAACTGCTTTTTCAAGGACAGCTCTTGTCAGAACTATGGCTTGCCCAAGGCCATCCAGACAGGTGCAAGTGGAGGAGTGGGGAATCAAACCCGGTTCTCCCAGATTAGAGTCTGTGCACTTAACCACTACACCAAGTGCTGGCAATTTGTCTGGTTCATGCATGTCTGTGCCTTAACCTGGACAGCTCAAGCTGATCAGATTTTGTGAAGGCTAAGCAGTGTTGGCCCTGGCTGGTATTTGGATGGGAGACCACTAAGGAAGCCCAGGGTTCCCTCTAAGCTGAGTTAGTGTGAGCCATCTCACAGTTTTTTAGCCTCTGGCTCACACATTTTTGTCCTAGCTCAGGAAGGATGGCTCCAGAGCAAACTAATTTATGCAGCAGCCAAATCGCTGGCTCACAACTTTAATGCCAGTAGCTCACAAAGTAGAATTTTTGCTCACAAGACTCCACAGCATAGAGGGAGCATTGGTCAGGATGCAGAGGCAGGCAACAGCAAACCAAACTCTGCTCATGCCTTGCCTTGAAAATCCTACAGGGTTGCCGTAAGTCAGTTGTGAATTGATAGTACTTTCGACCAGAGAGAGCGAGAGAGCTCATAAAATCAGAGGAGGAGGAGACTGGATTTATACCCCGCCCTTCACTCGGAGTCTCGGAGTGGTTGCGGTCATGCACACACTGATTAATCCACTTTCCAACTGGATTTTAGTGTGTGAACTGGCAAAATCCATTTGGAAAGTGCATTGAAAGAGGATTATTTAGTGTGTGCGTGATGGCAGCCTCACAGTGTTAGGTGGCAATGCTATGGGGTAGGTTCACAGTTCCTCCCCATCTCTTTAACCAGTGCAGCTTTCTGACCATTTCATTTAGGGTTGCCAGCTCCGGGTTGGGAAAGACCTGGAGATTTTGGGGGTGGAGCCTGGAGAGGGTGGGATTTGGGGAGGAATTGCCGCTGGGTATAATGCCTCGGAAGCCCACCTTCCAAAGCGGCCATTTTCTCCAGGGGAAACTGATCCCAGTCGTCTGGATACCAACAGTAGGGTTGCCAGCCTCCAGGTGAGGCCTGGGGATCTCCCGCTTTTACAACTGATCCCCAGCCGACAGAGATTAGCTCCCCTGGAGAAAATGGCTGCTTTGAAGGGTGGATTCTATGGCATTGTATTATGTTGAGGCCTCTCTCCTCCCCAAACCACGCCCTCTCCTGGCTCCACCCCCAAAGTCTCCAGGTATTTTCCAACCCAGACTTGGCAACCCTAACCAACAGTGATTTTCGAAAGAAATCCTACAACCCCCAAAACAATGCAGCGGGGGCAGGAGATCTCCAGGCGCCACCTGGAATTTGGCAACTCCAGCTGCAGTTCTATTCATCTGCGCAAAAAAAAAAAGTAAAAGAAGCCCTCTTGAATAACTCCGTTTCGCGAGAAGAGACCAGTCTTGTTTGAATTGCTTTTCCTATATTTTAATCCCTATATCCAATCACAAAAGCGACCCCGATTTTGCAGCCGGATGGCGAGACAGATACAGGTGCGTGACTACTCCCAACATTACGGCGACCCGGGGAAAAGCGAGCGGCGGGATTACTCGGAGCCTTACGGCTCCAGCTCCGTCCCGCAGCCTTACGGTAAAAGGGGTCGGGCCGGCCGGCAGGCGCTCGGGTCTCGCGAGAGCCAGGCAGGGAAGTCTCGCGAGTCTTTAAAAAGTCTGGCCGCGGAGGGAGATCCAAGCGGGAGAGATGGCAGGAGCGGGCGAGAGCCCGGCTGCTTGGGGCAGGTGAGCATGCCTGGAGCGCCTCCTTCCCCTTGAGCGCATCAGGATTATTATTTTTGCCAGAAATGCCCCCCTTTGAATTGTTGCAAGGTGGTTTGAGCGGCTCCCTTCCCGCCCCGTGTTAACCGCACAACAACCCCGCCAGGTAGGCTGGGCTGGCAGCGTGGGGGTGTGTGTCTGAGGTTACCCGGAAAACTCTCCCTCCTCTGCTTCGGCCTGACAACAGGTAGGCTAGGTTAAAAGCGCGGGCGTGCCCGAGATGACACAGGGATGCGCTTTTCCTCCATTTGAAACAGGTGGGGTTGCCAGCTCCAGGTTGGGAAATTCCTGGAGAGGGGTTGGAGCCTGGGGAGGGTGGGGTTTGGGGAGGGGAAGGACTGCAGTGGGGTAGAATGCCCTGGAGTCTGCCTTCGAAAGCAGTCGTTTTTCTCCAGGGGGAATGATCTCTGTCGCCTGGAGATCAGTTGGAACCCCAGGAGATCTCCAGCTGCCGTTTGGAGGTTGGCAACCCAAGAGACAGGCCGGGCTGGCCCGCTTGAATTTATCCAGGGAAAATGGTTTCTCCTCTGCTTTGGCCTGACGACAGCCCTGCGAGACCTTATGGGCTTTGCTTTCTTCAAGGAACGTGGAATGGCTCCCTTTCTGGCCCGTTTTATTATTTTATTTATTTATTCTCTCTTTCAGGTTTTTATTCCGTCCTCCCCAAAGCGGGCTCAGGGTGGATCACAATAAAACAAGAATGAGAGACTTGTTACAATAAAACTACATTACATTAAAATAATTAAAAACAGTAATATTTCCTCAGGACAGGCTCTCGAGGTAGGCCAGAATAAGAGCATCTGTGTGTCTGAGGTTACCCAGAAGGCTCTCTTTCCTCCACATCAGCCTGACAACAGTTAGGCTTGGCTCAAAGCGTGGGTGTGTCCGAGATGACACAGGAATGCGCCTTTCCTCCGCTTTGGCTGAACAACAACCCTGTGAAATAAGTAGGGTGTCACAGGTTACCCAGAAAGCTGTCCCTCCTCCACGGCAGCCTGACAACAGCCCTGCGAGGTCGGCTAAGTGAAAAGCATGAGTGTTGGTGAGGTTACCAGGGAATTGTCCTTCTTCCATGTTGGCTTTACAGGAACCCTGCCAAGTAGCCCAGGCTGAAAGTGTGGCCTGGGATTAATCAGGACATCGCTGCTCCTCTATGTTGGTTTTGTAGCAGCTGTCAACTAAGAACGTAAGAGAAGCCATGTTGGATCAGGCCAATGGCCCATCCAGCCCAACACTGTGTCACACAGTGGCCAAAACCCAGGGGCCATCAGGAGGTTCACCAGAAATTGCTCCTCTTCCAGTTTGGGCTTAAAACAGCCCTGTGAGGTAGGCTAGGCTGTGTACGTGTCCAGGATTACTCAGGAAATTTAACTTTCCTCTACTTCAACCTCACAACAACCCTGTGAAGTAGGCTACAATAAATGTGTGGCCTGAGATTACCTGGGAAATGCCCTTCCTACCTTTCAGCTTTATCCTAGTCTAAGTCACATGATTGTTTCAAGAGTATGTGTGCCCTCAGCTGAACCAGGAAGTCATCCTGTCTGGCCTTACTGCAACCCTGCGAGGTAGGCGACACTCTGACAGTATGACTGGCCCAAGGTCACCCAACAAGCTTCGGTGGCTGACCTGGGATTCGAACCTGGGCCTCTCAGATCCTAACCTGGAACTCTAACCCCTACGCACCAAGCTGGCTTCCTTTTTTGTCCAGTGTGGGGAGAGAGGAAATTAGAGCAGTCCCTTGCCTCAGCCAAGGGGGTCCTTGCATGCAATGCCTTGCTGATCAGAGACCCCTTTTTTGGGGGGGGATGTTGCTGATTTTGGGCCTCCAACAAGGACGTTGGTCCCCAACAATTTGTGCTGAACAATAAATTTGGGAGCTGGTGTATGATGCAAACCACATGGACAACAGCAAAGGAGCACATTGAACTGCCATTTCCATGGCCTTTTAATTAATTTTAATTGAATTAATATTTTTATGATTTAAAAAAAATTCTCAAAAAGAAGTGGGATACAGAAAGGAAAGAGGGTAGGGAAAAATATAGAGCCATCAAATTTGTCAAATATTATGGGTTGTTACGTACAACAAGTAAAATCAGATGTATTAGTAAGGATACATGTTTCTAACGAAATTGACTAAGAAAACAATGCGGAGGAGCGTGGAGGAGCGAAAAGAGTCTGGACTGAAAACGAAAGGAGTGTAAGTGGCTGGAAAGCAAAAAAATACCCCCAAATTTTCGGCGTCCAAGGAGGTGAAATAAAGTGGCCGGGAGATATATAAGACGGAACTGTAATTTGATACTCAGCGGGGGTAAGGAAAACTGATGGTCGGGTGCTATGTTTTGTGAAATAAGGAAGGAGCAAAAAAAAAAAAAATTGTGACAAGACAGTTTGGTGTGTTGCAAGTGAAGTTTTGAACGAGATGGAGCGTATTGGAACCAATGAGGAAGAAATGGCTGAAAACCTGGGAGTCGGAGAGACAGATCTGGAGCAGTTTATAAGAGCTATAAAAGAGGCGGCGAGGAGAGGATGCGAAGAAGCGTGTGAGGAGATAAAGAATGAATACATTGTGCATGCGGATATAGAAGGAAAGGAAAATCAGGGGTTGCTGATTGTGAGGGAGTCGCGTGAAGATGATTTAGTAGATAATAAGGACGGTGTTGAGGAAATCAAGGTGGAGGACTGTGTGGATTCGAGAGACCTCCTAAGTGAAGTAGTAGATCCTAAGAGAAAGCTGTTTGGTTTGAAAGGAAGATGGGCAAAAGAAAATAGACATTGTGTTAAAACGGGACGAGGGAAAGAGAAAAAGATCAAAAGAAGGAAGCGACGGGCATGGAAGTTTAAATTTGACACCATCCCCTGGAAAATGGAAGAACTGAAAGACAGAAGGAAAAGATATAGAGGTCTAGGAACGTGTAAGGAACGCAGGCATGTGGACATGTTGAAATGGAAAATGAGGCTGCAAATGTCTAGGAGGAAAGCTAAGAGATATGAAAAGGGAACATCGTGCTCTTTTTCTGCTATGGATAAAATTGGAAAACGGATCTGAAATTGGCTGATGTATGATGTATTGTGGCAGTGGGTATTGTGTATGCTTGTACCTCTGCTTGAGGCATTATGTCTGTATGTATTTGAACTTATTTATGGGTAAAGGATAGGGGATAACTGGTGGTAAATTGGAGGTGTATGTATTTTTATATAGGGGGGAAAAGAGATTAAGGAGGATTGAGTAAGGGAATAGCTAGATGGGTCAAAATGGGGTACAAGTTGAAATGTTTAAATGTTATAAATTATAAGTTGAAATGTATATAAAGATGATCAGGGATTGGGTATTAAATGTATTATTTAAAAAGAATCTAAGGTTTTAAGAGATCAAATCTTTGTAAAGAAGTGTGAAATTAATTATATTTAAATACAATGAATTGGCAATTTAATGTAGGGGTAATGTGTTTGAGAGAATGGAAAAGCGGATTGGATAAGATAGAAGGTTAGCAAAAGGAGGTACTGCTTCAGTAATTTATTTGTTTATTATTACATAATGTATGTGTTATAGCAATTTTCCTTAATGTCTTTCGTTTTTTTCCCCCTCTCTTGGTGTTTATATTATTCCTAATTGTGGTGAATAAGGGGGGATTAGGAGGTATATACTAAGGTTGTTTTTGGCACTAGTTAGGAGGAGGCAGAGTTACAAGTAGGTTTAATGTTTAATATTACCCACGGTAATGAATAAATGTAGGTTAGTCCCAGATTAAATCAAAAAGTTTAATGGGAATCCATGTTTAAAAAGAAAATGTAGTAAGATAGGCAATGAACAAAATACTAAGAGGAGATTTAAGCTCTAAATGAATTCAAACCCCTATAGCAAAAGCACAAAATTGACAAGATATGGGAGAAGGGATTTAGAACATTGCATATTGACAGAGGTATAGATATGAATTCTAGGGTAAGTTCAGACTTGACAGTTTACAACTTCAAAAAGATTTAGAAATATGAACTTTTAGTCAATACAGATCAGATATAGAAATGGGAAATTAAGGGAAACTATCAGTTATAGAAGTTAGGGTAATATGTCTCTCTGTGTTTAGAAAAAGGAAATATAAGATGTTGGTATGTATAAACTGTTGTTGATAATCTTGTATATGTGTATGTTATAGGCCTATAAAACCCAATAAACATAATTATCAAAAAAAATGGATACATGTTTCAAATATCGAAGCAGACCATAAAACATCAATATTACAGTGTTTTGGGATGAGCTCTCTTTAAAAGAATAAACAAGAACTTTCCTAATATTAGTGATAATCTATTAACAAAAAAGAGATTACATCTTTAACCGCTGAACAAACAAACTTCTATGCTAAAATTAAACCGTTGTTAAGATCTGAATATTGTCTTAATTGTTTGAACTGAATTGATCTTTTAACACATTTTTAGGCTGGAAATTGCTCTTTTGAGCGGTCAGCGATCTCTTTGTATGGGCTGCATTTTTTGTGTGGAATTTTAATGTGTTTTATGTTGATATTCATTATGTTTTGTTTCGTAACCCGCTCAGGGCTGGTTCCAAGAGAGGTGGCACAATACTTTTCAAAAGAAATCATACAAACCCCAAAATAATGCAGCTGGGACAAGAAATCAAAGAGGAGTTCCAAATCACAAGATTGGGACTAGATTCTCCTTGCAGATCTCACCTCTGCCACAGAAGGAGGCTGGGGAAACTTCAGGATCACACTTTATTTTTAAAAAACATATACTAGCACCCTAACTTATTAGGGCGTAAATTGTTGGGGACCAGAGCCCTGGCCGATGTCTCAAACAACCTTCACACATGCATGTTAAGAATTTGTTTCATTGAAGTGGGAAGAATGTTGAGTGTTAAGTTCACGGATCAGTATTGTTCACATGTAAGTTAATGTTATTCACGCAGCACACTGAGATAAAGCAGTCATGTGAAACGGGAATATATGCAAATTCCGTTGTGTGTATGCATACATCTTGGTTACTTGTTGAAGAAATACTACTCACTGCAAAACAGGAGTTTAAATATATATTTTCATAATACTACATCATGGCTGTTTTCTTCATTGTTAGCATTCAGGTGAGGGCTGGAAATTACCTGGATTTATAACTGATTTCCAGGTGACAGAAAATGGGTGCTTTGGAGGGTGGACTCTGTAGCATTATACCCTGTTGAGGTTGCTTCCCTCCCCAAACCTTGTCCTTGGAAGGTCAAATCTCCAGAAATTTCCTAGCCTGGAGCTGGCAACTTTCAGGGGAAACTAACGTCAGTATGTTGTCGAAGGTATAGCAAAGTAGTTGGAAGATCTGTTGTAATTCCAGCAGGTCTCCAGGCCCCACCTGGAGGTTGGAAACCCTAGAAGGAGAGAAGGAAGCAGGGAAAGGAGAGAGGCTATGGGAGCTTTCAGGACGGAAAGAGGAAATCGTGGGGGAGGGGAGAATGAGATGCCTTCCGCAGGTGCTTGGGAGTTCCCACTTGTATCATTATAACAGTACATCATCAACATTTCAGGCAGAAGTTATGTTTGACAGGATGCCTTTTAATCTGCACAGCCAATCCCCACCTAGCCCCACCCACCGTCTGACAGCACTTGGCGGGCATCAGGAAAGGTGCTGGTGGGTGCTGTGGGTCCCGTGGGCTGTGGGTCCCGTTGGGGACTCCTGTTCTGATTCATGCACTGATTTTACAGGGATAGGTCACGTTTTTGGAACCCAGTGTGGAAAAGAACTGCGACGTCTCTCTTGTATGCTTGTTAATATTAACGTCGTAACTGTTAATTGTGTGTGTTCTACGCCACACTCGCGTATATGTGAGTGTCCTTCACCAGACTTGTTTTGGGAAAAGTGAAGTGGTCAGCCATTCTGACCCTGATATCCTGGAACACAATCCCCGTAATATCTTTTTATTAGGACCAATGACACAGAACAGCGGGCAGGCTTCCAAGTGCTCCAGAACTCTTCTTCTGGCTTTTTCTGTTCAGAAGACTTCTGAAGAACGTGGAAGCTTGCTCGTTGTTCTGTGTCCTCGGGTGGGTCCTAATACAAAGGCACGCCGTGCTACGCCCATGTCAGGTGGGTGAAGCGAGGCTCAAGGTTATATTAACAATAAGGGGCTGAGTTCCCGAGTCGACTTGATCAGTTAATGAAATTTAAACTGAGTTCTTCTACTTCAGCACGAATACTCTCGGCTGCTGTGCTACATCAGCTCTTTCCCCGACTCACTGTGTGCTTTGTTAATATATAGCCACTTTGCTCACTGGTTCTGTCTAGGAGCTAAAATCTGTTGGTTCCCCCCTGCCCTTTCCAAAAGTGATCAGCTGTTCTCTGTGGACTGCCAAAGATTCGCTCTACATCTGTGAGCCAGTTTGGTATAGTGGTTAAGAGTGGTGGACTCTAATCTGGAGAACCGGGTTTGATTCCCCACTCCTCCACATGAAGCCAGTTGGGTCACCTTGGGCAAGCCGTAGTTCTCCCAGAGCTCTCTCAGCCCCACCTACCTCACAGGGTGTCTTTTGTGGGGAGAGGAAGGGAAGGTGAATGTAAGCCGCTCTGAGACACCTTCGGGTAGTGAAGATGGGGTATAAAACGAACTCTTCTTCCTGTGGTGTGTGTGTGTGAACTTGTTGTAATCCAGAAGTTTACCTCTCTTCATTTTGGAGTGGCGGTTAGGAGCGTGGACTCTAATCTGGGAGAACCGGGTTTGATTCCTCACTCCTTCACTTGCAGTCAGCTGGGTGACCTTGGGCAAGCCATAGTTCTGACAAGAGCTGTCCTTGAAAGTGCAGTTCTGGAAAGAGCTCTCTCAGCCCCACCTACCTCACAGGGTGTCTGTTGTGGGGAGGGGAAGGGAAAGGAGATTTTAAGGCACTCTGAGACTCCTTTGGGTAGTAAAGGGCGGAGTATAAATCCAATTTCTTCTTCTTCTCCTCTTATTAAAAAAACACCAGAGTTTTTGTGCAATATAACCATTTTGCAGCTTCATCAAGGGCCTGGTCAACAGGTGCTGCTTATTTCCTTATCAGCTAAAATTTGCACTCGGAAACTGGGATTCAAAATGGCATGAAAACAAAGAGTCTTTGCAAGAAAGAGTCATGGGGTTTCGAGCTGGAGAAGGCCAAAGTATTTCATGTAGTGGTAGATATTTTATTATTTTTAAAACATGACTTAAAAATTATTTTTTTAAGGAGAAACCAACCATTTGATTCAGGCCGGTTGGCATTTTCCGTGATGATGCCCCAGGTTGTGCCAGACATCTTAACGTTTTGAAGTCGCTTTATGTAGAAGGTGTAGTTGCTGTCTAATAAAATGGTGAAAAACAGCAATGTAACGATTATCAATTAGAACAACAGGCTGTGCAAAGATGGCAGGGGCCTAACGTGACATTCAGCAGTGTAAAATGATATTTCTGAAACGACCCTTAATCTAGGATAGGGTGGTTATAAAAAAGGCAGCAACACCCTCCCTCCCCTTGGTCAAAAGCCTGGGAAAAAAGAAAATGTTTTGGCCAAACGTCTAAAAGATTGCTAGGTGGGTGCTGAGTGGGTCTCAAGGGGATGCGGAAGACAAACGTCTAATTAAGAGCCAGCATGGGGTAGCGGTTAGTGTCCGACCAGGATCTGGGACACCCAGGTTCGAATCCTAGCTGCGCCATGAAAGCTCACTGGGTGACCTGGGGCCAGGCACACGCTCTGAGCTAAACCTACCTCCCAGGGTTGTTGTGAGGATACACTGATGAGTTCTTCTGACGCAGGGAGCTCCGATTCTCAAAAGTGTCTACCCTGAAAATCTTGTTCCTCTCCTTATAAGGTGGTAGGTAAAGGTTTTCCTTGCTCGAAAGCCAGTTGAATCCGACTCTAGGGATGCGGTGCTCATCTCCGTTTCCAAGCCGAAGAGCCAGCGCTGTATGAAGAGGTTTCAGTGGTCATGTGGCCAGATGGCTAAATGCCAAGGTGCAAGGAGCGCTGTTACCTTCCCACCGAAGCGGTACCTATTTATCTACTTGCAATTTCTTGCTTTTGAACTGCTAGGTTGGCAGGAGCTGGAACCAGAGACGGGAGCTCACTCCGTCACACGGCACTCGGGTCTCGAACTGCTGAACTACCGACCTTCTAGCCTGCAGTTCAGTGTCTTAACCACTTGAGCCACCGCAGCTACTGGACTCAAATCTAGCTCCTTTATTGTGTTAGTCAGCAATAAAAGGAAAAGAATTCAAAAAGTATGAAAAAAAACCTTATGCTGTGTCTGTTGGTTTGCAAAGATAGGCGGATTTTAATCTTCAGGAATCCTTCTGTCTTGTATATGAGGGGCAACTTCTTTTGTTCCGCAAATATTCCTTCGATGTGGGAATGTCACAATGCGGGGCTAGGCAGGGGCGAGGTAGTCAGGATACAGTCCGAGGTCAAGAGCCAGTCACACAAGTTAGCCGGAAACCAAGTCCAATACACAAAGTAAGAGCGGGGTGGTCAAGGTATAGTCCAAAGTCAAGAGCCAGGCAAGCAAACCAACCGGGAAACCAAGTTCAAAGCACAGAGTCCTGAGGAAACCAGAGTCCAAAAGAGTAAAGAGCCAGAGAGTCAAAAGTTTGGGGTGCAGAGTCGGAAGTGTGGTCGTTCAAGCCGAGGTCAAGGAGCCGAGGAAATCCAGACAGGAACCAGGAGTTGGGATCACGAGCGAGGAGGTGCAGAGCTTTCGTCTGAAGAGACTAGTTGCTGGCATGATTTGTTGGCGTGAGGGCGTGGGTTAAATAGCCCATAATCCTGCTGGCAATTAGCGTGCCCCAAGCGAGTCCCGGCTCCTGCTAATACTCGGGGCTGAATGAGCGCCTGCCACGCATGCGTGCCTCTCGCCGCCGGGTTGCCATATCCCATCGGCACTGTTCTCTCAAGCAGGATACCGGTGGGGGTGAATCAGGAGGAGAACTGTCCGGGCGTGCTTCTGCCTCCGCTGTTGCTGGGGTAGCCTCTGGAATCTTAGCCCTGTCAGGTGCGGGAGTTTCCGGCATTGAGAGCTCATCCCCAGCAGCACTTAGATCCTCTGCTGGGGCCGCTTGTTTGCACTCAGCGGGAGCTGCTTGCTCGCAGTCAGCAGGAGCCGTGACAGGGAAGGTCGGTTTGGTTAAAACTAGCCTAGTGTGTATGGTTTCCCCTCTGAAATTTTCCATTTTCCTCCCCTCCCCCCACTTTTGGAAGAAGCAAGGAAGATCCCGAGGACAATACGTTGGTCCTCACAATAATGAAGCGCTTCAACGAGTCGTTGGCTTCCGATGAAACGTCCGTGCTGGACAGGTCGGTGCTGGACACAACGCGGCGCCCTCTGCAGATGCAGTACCAGCAGATGATGAGGGTAAGACGTCTCTGTGTTGCTCCTGCCTGGTGGGAACGCTAGGCAACCTAGTCTGTTGGAAAGAAACAATGTAAAGGAGGGGGGTCCCCAACATGGCGCCCGCAGAGTTTTTAGAAAGTGGGTGGGGCCAAGTGGGTCTTTTGCCCAGTGGTGCTTCTGATTGGCTGTGCAGGTATTTAAAAACATTGACTTTGGCAGCAGCCTTTTAAAGCAGGTATTTAAAACATTGACTTTGCCACCACAGCAGCCTTTTAAAGCAGGTATTTAAAACATTGACTTTGTTGCCACAGCACAAGGATCTTCACTATATGATTTGAAGGTAAGCTGAGGCAGCCATTTTGTGGTTGGCTCCGCCTCCTGAGGAGGCCATTTTGTGGCTGGCTTCGCCTCCCAAGGCAGCCATTCTGTGGCTGTGCCCACCATGCTGTGGCAGATGTCCAAAGGTGCCTGCAGGCTCAAAAAGGCTGGCCCCCCCTGATGTAACGAGTGGTTATAATGGAGCAGTAATCAAAATTCTACTTTCTGGTGCCAGTGAACGACAGATTGCTTGATGCTTTTGCCTCCCATTCAGTTGTCTAAAAAGAAACTTATTTTGTGTTCTTTTGGGTGGGTGGGTGG